CCTTAGCCACGAGCGTTTCAACAACATCCTCGTCCTCATCGTCTACTTCTACTAGTATGACTTTGACTCAGCACGATCTCACAGTACATCTCAGGGCCACTTCTTGGCACAGGGGAAGAAAGGAAAAAATGGAATATTCGGAGGATTGGATTTGGACTATGAAGGGCTGCAGATGACAGACAACAGAACACTGCTGGATATTACTGATGTTATTTATTGATGTGACAGTTCATCGACTGCTATGATTATTAGGCCCATACTTGCTAAATAAACGTATTGGCAGCTCTGGTCCCACAGTCTGTAGTCAAGATATTTGACTCAAGGAAAGAAAGGTGATTGCACCCAAACCTGCCAACGTATCACTGACCTCCAAATTGAAAAACAAAGCCAAGATTCACTCTACCGACTCACGGCATAGAAACTAAACATTACTCTAAAATATGGCAGAATACCAAAGATTCATGAGCAGTTATGAGTCAAGATGGCTGAGCTCCAGTGCTTCTGATGGACATCCATTCGTGGCAGATGGAAGGTGCTGGAAATGGCACCTGGTGAATTGCCAAATGTCTTGGTGATGTTAAATTCCTTAGTCCTACAGACCGTACATCAGTTGGGCAAAATACAATATCACATCACTGCATTTTTCCAAGCACTACAACATCACATAAGCCTAGAGAATTCAATCCCTACTATTTACAGATATCTATTTAAAAAAATATTCTGGCTGGACACAGTGGCTCATGCCTGTAATCCCAGCACTTTGGGAGGCCCAGGCAGGCAGATCATGAGGTCAAGAGATCATGACTTTCCTTGCCAACATGGTGAAAACCAGTCTCTACTAAAAACATAAAAATCAGCTGGGTATGGTGACACATGCCTGTAATCTCATCTACTCAGGAGGCTGAGGCAGAAGAATCACTTGAACCCAAAAGACAGAGGTTGCAGTGAACCGAGATCGCACCACTGTACTCTAGTCTGGTGACAGAGAGATAGTCTGTCTCAAAAAAAAAAAAAATTCATAAAGACCATGTTTTAGCCGGGCGCGGTGGCTCAAGCCTGTAATCCCAGCACTTTGGGAGGCTGAGGCGGGTGGATCACGAGGTCAAGAGATCGAGACCAGCCTGGTCAACATGGTGAAACCCCGTCTCTACTAAAAATACAAAAAATTAGCTGGGCGTGGTGGCGTGTGCCTGTAATCCCAGCTACTCAGGAGGCTGAGGCAGGAGAATTGCCTGAACCCAGGAGGCGGAGGTTGCGGTGAGCCGAGATCGTGCCATTGCACTCCAGCCTGGGTTAACAAGAGCGAAACTCCGTCTCAAAAAAAAAAAAAAAAAAAAAAAAAAAAAAAAGACCATGTTTTAGTCAACTTTAGTCAACTCTGAACCCCAGCTCAGAGCCTGACACGAGGGGAGTGCTCCATATACGTGTGTTGAACAAGTGAACAAAGTTACGAAGGTAAACAGACCAGCTCATCTGTTTATTGGCAGCCTCAAAATGCCATAAATATGATCATTTAGCAAATGTTCTTTGATAGTTAAAATTGGAGAGTGGCACCCAATGTATAAAAGCCAAAATCATGTAAACATTTTTTAAATGCACATTTGCATGTTTTTTGTTGATTTATGTGCAGACTGGTGATTTTCAGTTACAAGAAGATCCACGCATTAATTATGCACCATCCTAGCAGCCATTCAAGAAATTCATTTAAATTAGGAAGTTCCTAAAAGGTCGTGGAAAAAATTAAAAATGTTGTCCCGGCTGGGCGCGGTGGCTCACGCCTGTAATCCCAGAACTTTTGGGAGGCCGAGGCGGGTGGATCACGAGGTCAAGAGATCGAGACCATCCTGGTCAACATGGTGAAACCCCGTCTCTACTAAAAACACAAAAAATTAGCTGGGCATGGTGGCACGTGCCTGTAATCCCAGCTACTCAGGAGGCCGAGGCAGGAGAATTGCCTGAACCCAGGAGGCGGAGGTTGCGGTGAGCCGAGATCGCGCCATTGCACTCCAGCCTGGGTAACAAGAGCGAAACTCCGTCTCAAAAAAAAATAAAAAATAAAAAAATTTTTAAAAATTTAAAAAAATGTCGTCCCAAGCGACAGGCTCTTCTATTGCCAGCATCCACTCAGATCCGGTTGGCCCTCACTTTGCACATAGTTCTGTGACACTTAGCTACTGAACTCCAGGTTCGCAACAAAGTAGCAGAAGAAAAGAGATTTAAGAGGTTCCTGATTGGCCTCTTCATTGATCCTGATTGGATCATGGTGGGGCCAAGAGCTTGGAACCAGGTAGGCAGAGAACAGCCAAAACGAGATCTCAGGTGATGCTGGGAATGGCAGGAAGGCAAAGCAACGTCAGCATCAGAATCACCTGTAGACTGAGGCACAGGATTGAAACAAAGACTGAAATACCAGAACAAGGGGGTGAAGCCAAGTAATAAGAAGGGAACTCAAAAGGCAGAGAAAGTTCAGAATCCAAGGAAAGGAAGACCAGGTGTGAGAAAGCAACCAGCCCACTCAGCAAGTCTCCTTGCTCAGACCAAGCACCCAGGGCCAAGGAGCCTTGGGTCAGTCATGGCTCCACCCTCTCCTCGCCAGCCCTGTTTCCCCCAAAGAGGCAGGTGGTTGCATCATCTTCTACTCCCCAGTTCTCTCCATTTGGGTCTGAGGCAAAGCTAACACCAGTGGGGAAAATGATTCATTCAATAAATTTTAGGCAGGGCATGGTGGCTCACAACTATAATCCTGGCACTTTGGGAGGCTGAGACTGGAGGATCCTTTGAGCCCAGGAGTTTAAGACCAGCCTGGGCAACACAGTGAGGCCCCATCTCTACAAAAGAAATATTTTTAAAAGTAGCTGGGTGTGGTGGCTAGTGCCTGGAATCCCAGCTGCTCAGGAGGCTAAGGCAGAATACCTTGAGCCCAGGAGTTCAAGCTCTTAGTGGTCTTTGGATGACTAAACTTTAACACATCTTAGCTCAAAATATCTGATCACACCACTGCACTCCAGCCCAGGCAACAGAGTGAGACCCTATCTCTAAATAAATAAATACATTTTAATTGTGCAGCTATTATGTGCCAAGCACAATGTAAAAGGAAGGCGATACATTAGTAAACAAAACAGATCCTACCTGCATGGCACTTAATGTCTAAATGAAGACACACACACCATAAACAGGCAACCATAAATACATTCTTGCAAAGTGAGAGAAGTGCTATGAGGAAAATGTACACGATGCCGGGTGGAGAATGAGGTGGTGGGCTACCTTAGATGCAGTGGTCACAGGAAGTCTCTCTGTAGGGGATTTTGAGCTGAGATACGTTAAAGTTTAGTCATCCAAAGATCACTAAGATTAGTCTATAGTCTGAAAACCCAGGAGCTACTGACTTAGGGCAAGGCAGAACAGGTGAGAGGAGAGAAGGGTCTTGGGGTGAGGTTCCTCTTGAAGGACATGATAGACCAACCAGGTTACAGTCCGATGGTCAGAATCCAGGTGAGAGATATCAATCTTTAACTAAGGTCCGGAGCATATGGGGTAGAAATAACAAGGGTTGCTTGGTGGATTACATGTGGGATTTGAAGCTTAGTTCTACCAAGTCCCTGGGACCCTTGCTGTCAGCTCTTTCCTGGGGAACAGAAAGTGGGTTCCAGCAGCCTGAAATCAAGTGCATGATGAAACCAGAAAAAGCAAACGAACGCCAAAATCAAAACTCTGAGGCTGAGAATACCTGCACACAGGTGCAAGTGCCCTAGCTTTTCGCGGAGGGCAGTTCACCAGAACCCAGGGCAATTCCTAATTTCCATAAAGAGCCCAGATATAAATCAAGTGTGGCTAGTTCACTGTGGTTAAGGTAGTCAGGAAGTGTGCCACAGTTTACAAAATTTTTCAACCAAAATGGTTTCATTTTAACGCTGCTTAAAGGGAAAATTCTCGTTTACCTGGAAAACTTAACTCCTCAAAGGGAAGTTTCGTTCAACAGCTAAAGTGTGCCAATCCCAGATCCCCGAGGGAACTGCAACAATGTGTGACCGGGCGCGCTGCCTTCGGCAGTCGCCGTGGAGTTTGCTGCCAGGTGTCGGAGCCGGTTTGCACGTCCGCGTCAATCCCCGCAGTACAAACCAGAGGAGGGGCCGGGACCACGCTTCCCCTCTCGTGTGTTTTGTTTCTGTTGCTGAGGTTCAGGGAGTTGCCTGGCTACCCTCACGGGTTCCTATGAAAACCACCACTTCTGAGAGGATGGGAGGAGAGGCCAATTCAGGGTCCACCCCGCGGGCCCCGCCCAGGCACGGGGTCCCTGCACTCGGCAGCTGGGCAGGGAAGGGCGCGGCCCGGAAGCTGGGCGTGGGCGGGGCTGGCGCGAGCGGAGAGGGGCGTGGCAGGCCGGGGCGGAGCCTGGGTGCGCCTGCGCAGGCCGCGCCACTCAGGGAGGCGGAGGCGACGCGCGGGAGGAAAGATGGAAGACTATCAGGCTGCGGAGGAGGTAACCGCCGGGTCGGCGACGGAAGGGTGGAGGCCTAGAGCCCTGGGCGCGGAAGGACGCGCGGTCTTGACCGGAAAGCCCTGGCTGTCACCGTCCCCCGGCTAGGCCAGTCTCGGCCGCCCACGGCCTGAGGTTCACGATCGCCGGCGTTCAGCCCAGCCCCAGCCTGCCCGGGTACTGCTGCCGTTTCCCCGGCACCGGGTGCGGGAAGGGGATTGAGTTCCTTCCCGCGCGGGGCGGCACCGGGCGTGACTGGGACAGAGCGCCTGGGTGAGCGGCGCGGAGACGCCTTCCCGTAGAGCCTCTTCCCCGGCCCTCTGCGGACCTCCCCGGGAGGATGACATCACCGCCCCTTGCTCTGCGGGGCGGACCCCAGCCCCAGCCCCGAGCGGGGCGCGGCGGCCGAGCTGGGAGCGCCGAGGCCTGGACGTCCGCGCGGGGGTGCAGGTGACACTCTCGCCCCCAGCCCCTCCCCTCGGCTGGCGTCCTGGCCACGCCGCGCCTTTGTCTCGGGCCTCACCTGGTTCCGCAGCGCTGGGAATGAGTAGCATATTTCATTTCTGTCTGTAAGAAAGCTCATTGTTGTTGGGGGGAAACCGTCTCTTTCTGTCTCCTTGAGGAAGTAGGATAAAGCTCACGATCTTGCCAAGCAGAAGACACCCACCGGCACCGTGTGCGTTAAATGGCTTTCTTTCAAGCTCACGGTCATTCGGGAAATAGAGCTGATGGGCGCAGCTGAGATAGAACACTCATTTTCTTCTTACTGAATAATCCTCGCTGAAATTCAGAATCCGATATATTATACAGCCTGTCAAAAATAAAAACTATAGATACATTTGGTAAGATTGGACATTTTACCATTCATGAAATTTAAGGAGGAATATTTTCAGGGAAATTAAAACTAAGGCTTAAGCTTAAGGACTGATTGTAGATTCAGTTTTGATCTGATTTCCTCACTAACGTGCACTTCCTGCGACAGTGGCATAATCGGTGTTTGAATGCTGATGGCAACCAAGTGAACAATGACGAGAAGACCTGCTTCAGAAGCAGCTGGCAAAGACAAACCTTTTCCCTTAAACTGTTGCTAATATTGGAAAATGGCTTGTATTGTAGTCATATCGAGTAAAACTGTTCTAAAAAAAGAAATGGCTATGTAAAGAGAAGCCCTTAATACTGCGGTCCGATTCTGGCTCCCACAGATGAGGTAGCTAAGTGACTTCATTATTCTAGATCTCAATTCCGTATGTATCAAATGAAGGGGCTGGACAGAGTGATTAGTGTTTCCTATGGGATGGATGCTCTGGGAGGTGGAGGCCATGGCTGTCTTGCAGAAGGCATGCCTTAGGTATTTACTGAATGGTCCCCTTCTGGTCCTCCCACCAGCCTCTCTGCAGTCTTTTCTGCGTCTGTTCTAACTTCATGTAGATTCCTGGGCCTTTGTAACTATTCTCTAAACTCATCATTCATCTTTCTTGGAGAAGATGAAACTGTTCACTGGATTCATTACAACGCTCTGCTTTCCACGAAACATTCTTTAAAATGTCCCTCAACCTTTTTCATACTTTAACCATATGAAAGGTGATACAGCACCTTTCCTTTGTAATTAAGGTCACTATAATCACTTGGAAGGATCCTTTAGGCTTCCAGAAATTACCTCATCTCTAAGATATTGCAAATTGTCATTCACTCAGTGAGTTGGTTTTGTTTCAGTCTGACTTCTGAGTACAGCAAGTGAGGTGGCTTCGGGCAGTCAGCTCTTGACTCCCCTAAAAAGAAAGGGCAGGGCCTTTAGTGGACAACAGCCAGGCAGGGAGAGACTCACTGCCAAATCAAGGTTCCCTGCCTTGATTCCCCCAAGATGCACATTGACTGAGGGCCCCAGGGGCTGCCCTCTTGAAGGCATGTCAAGAGCTACGTACCTTTTCTGTGACTCAGCAGTAACTTTAAACGCTTGTGCTCATGTGAAGAGCACATTGGCAGGCAAGTGCCTGACCAATGTTATTTTCAGGATGATCTTTCACCCATTAAGATCTGCCATGTGTAAAAGGGAAAGAAAGAAAACTATACTCTTGGCACCAGATTACTGCAGGCAGCCCATCTCCTGAGTCATCCAGACACTGACAGAGAACGGCCATGCTGGCAGCTGGTGGTTTAGTCCTGGAGCAGGAGGGCAGCACTGGAAAAGAAAAATAATTATCTGGAAATAATACAATCATTGTAAATTTTACAACTAATGGTGCTTTAAAACAATTTCCTCAAGGCCAGACCTCCTAATCAGTTTACATCAGGGAAGAGAGAATTACATCTTAAATGGATTGCTTCAGCAGCTTCGGTTAATTTATACAAAAATCAAACAACTCATTAAGCCTCTCTATTGGTTGATTCCAGCAGCCAGTTGAAATGGGAAATTGAATTCTAGTTTAAAGTGAAATCTTAGAGTGTGGCATGATTAAAACAAGACGGGCCGGGCACAGTGGCTCATGCCTGTAATCTCAGCACCTCGGGAGGCCGAGGCAGGAGGATCACCTGAGGTCAGGAGTTCAAGACTGGCCTGGCCAACATGGTGAAACCCCATTTCTACTAAAAATATGAAAATTAGCCAGGTATGGTGGAGGGCACCTGTAATCCCAGCTACTTGGGAGGCTGAGGCAGGAGAATCGCTTGAATCTGGTTGTAGTGAGCTGAGATTGCACCACTGCACTCCAACCTGGGCTGCAGAGTGACACTCCATATCAAAAATAAATAAATAAAAATAAAACAGAACAACTTTCAATTATGTGCATCTATTCTAGTCTTCTGGTTTCTGAAGACTTGCAGTGCCATCCATCCTTGGTAACATGAACAGTCTAGTTAGATTATTTCTAAGGTCTTCATTTCTAAATTATGTTCATTACCTAAATCTGCATTTACCAATGTAGTGGAAATATCTTTTAAATAAATCAAACTTAACTGAATGTTCTTTCTTACAGACTGCTTTTGTTGTGGATGAAGTGAGCAACATTGTAAAAGAGGTAAGAGGAGAAATGCTCTCTTCTGAAATGTTTATAGCTTGTATTAGAGAAAATATGTTGTAAATACCATCTTGGAATTGTTTCAACCAAGTCTCTGTTTTGGTGTTTCGAATAACAGGTTTTATTTCAGTAAATAGCTGGATAAGAATTGCTCCTATATTATGTAGATTATTTAAAATCAGACAAGGATTTTATGCACATAGAATTATTACTGAATATCACCAAAACTTGATTTTATAACCTTTTAGCATAAAAGACTCTGGCATACTAATAAATGTTTCCAGGGCTTAATGAAGAGTGAGTTTAAGAAAATTCAACTTCTAGTTACTCCAGACCTGGTGATCCAGTTTGGGACCTATTTGCTTACTTTTCTTACATTCCTAAACTTCACACTTTTTTGTGGTGTTGATCATGAGGAGGATGAGAGACAGAAGGATGCTTGTTACTCATTCAGAAAGTACACACAGAGGGAGCATGCAGGGCGCAGACCTTCCTGGAGTTTACAGCTGTGGGGCAGGCAGGGCAGACACATCAAATAGTCCTGCTGCAAAGTGTTCGCTTGCATTTGCTGTGTGGGAAGCGCACTGTGAGAGCACTGAACGGGGAGTGTGACCCACCCAGGGAGTTCAGGGACTATTTCGAGCTGCAAGCTGAAGAATGATAGAAGTAGGGGCAACGCAGCAAAAAGAGGGGACAAGGCCTCGTGGGAGGTGGGGGCAGTGCACGGTGTGTGTGAGGGAGTGGAAGGAGGTGGGTGTGGCTGGAGTGGTGCTGAGAGCTAGGAGCCCTGGGGCAGGAACGAAGCCGAAGATTTTCCTCATCAGCTTCCCTGCCTTCCCTGGGTAAGATGCGGCACAGACTAATTAAAGCCATTGGCTAAAAGAAAATTATAAGATGGTCTGAATTTAATGATACTGTTTGGTGTTTCATGTGTAATTGAGGATTTAATATAAATTATTGACTAGTGTTCAATAAAAAAACACAACCTATGTTTGTGACCAGTATCCAAAAGCAAAATGATTTTGTTTTACCATTTACATTGTTCAGAATCAGGCATGACTTTCCTGTTTCTTTGAGGGATCTGTAAGTTTGCTTTTCATGGTTATCTAAATCCAGTTTCACATGGATCACATTTGGGACCAGGAAGGTGGGTAGATTACACCAGAACTGGGAACAGCGGTGGTGACTTGTTGGGAAGTATAGTTCTGCCTCAGTTGTTTTCTGCCTTAGCTTTGACTTGGTTCCCAGGTGGCAAATGCAATTGAAAGTACACATTTCCAGCCAAGCACAGTGGCTCACGCCTGTATTCCCAGCACTTTTTGGGGCTGAGGCAGGCAGATCACCTGCGGTCAGGAGTTCGAGACCAGTCTGGCCAACATGGTGAACCCCATCTCTACTAAAAATACAAAAAAATTAGCTGGGCATGGTAGTGGGGTCCTATAATCCCAGCTACTCGGGAGGCCGAGGCAGGAAAATTGCTTGAACCTGGGAGGGGGAGGTTGCAGTGAGTTGAGATCACGCCATTGCACTCCAGCCTGGGCAACAAAAGTGAGACTTCATCTTAAAAAAAAAAAAAAAAAAGTACACATTTCCAATCCAATCTACATGGAAACATGAGGTGACATTCCAGTGTTACTTGAACTTGTATCACTGGCTTCAATAGCTTTTTTGCCTCCACAATAGGTAATTCTGTATTCAAGTTACCCAAGTATTGGGTAGTAGTAAATTTGCACAAATTGAAAATTGATTCCCTCCTCCCTTAAAAACTGAATTTCAAAGTATGTGTGGAGAGGTGGTGGAGGGAGGTTTGGCTTGAACAAAGCCTTCTCCCCCTTTGACAATGCCCAGGTCTAGTAATACTGCTGTCCCCTTAAACCAGGACTTCTGGTCCCCCAGACCCCTTGTAACCTCTGAGCTGGGAGGGAACACAGTAGCAGAGGACGAGAAATAAGCCAGACTTGTGAGTAATGTGACTGCTCAGAGTCCCTGGGAGATCACAGGCAGTCTATAGGCAGAAAGCGGAGTGTGACCTAGAGAGGTTTTAGGTCCTCAAAAGCAAGGTCACTGGATCCAAGCCCCAGGCATCAGATTCCCGTCTGTCGCCACCACGCAAAGCTCAGATCCCAGATTGCTGGTGTTCTCTGCCTGAGGACAGACCTTGGCCCTCACTGAATGTTTTCATTTTCACTTTAGCTCATAACTGTCATAGAAATTCAGGTTCCTGGTTTCCAGCACAGCCAAGTTAGGGCTAGAGAAGAAGGCTGCTGAGATGCAAGCTCACTGGCATCCCACTGAAAGGAGACCGACACTGAAAGACCCAGAAAACCACACGATGGCAGTATCATAGTAAGCTTAGCAAGAGCAGCAACAGTGAGCCCTGCATCGTCAGATAACCTCAAAGAATATAGCACAGAAAAAGAAGTAAACGTATAATAAAGGAAAAAATGGGCTGAATGCTGTGGCTTATGCCTGTAATCCCAGCACTTTAGGAGGCTGAGGCAGGAGGATCACTTGAGCCCAGGCATTTGAGAGCAGCCTGGGCAACAGAGCAAGACCCCATCTCTACAAAAAGATAGAGCTGGGCCTGGTGGCACATGTCTGCAGTCCCAACTACTGGGGAAGCTAAGGTGGGAGGATTGCTTGAGCCAAGGAGGTCAAGGCTGCAGTGAGCCAGGATTGCATCACTGCTCTCCAGCCTGGGCAACGGGAGACCCTGCCTCAGAAAAAAAAAGAAAAAAATTTCATTACAAACCTAAAGTAAGTTCTGGAACATAAAGGGCTTTTCTTTAGTTATCTGAAAAATGCACTTAACATGCAACATATTCCCAGACAATGCTGAATAAAAGAAGTATTTTTGAATAGATGATTATTTGGATAGGTTTATATATTATCAGTTGTACAAATATAACTCATCTAAAATACAGTATTAGTATATGTTAAGTAGTATTAGATAAAATAACTTTTAAAAAAGGAATAGGTAAAATACTTTCTAGCCTCAACAAGAAAACAATGTATTATCTATAAATATTAATAATAGTGAATATTAAATGCAATTAGGTCAAAACGTATAATTTGACAGACTGAATTTTTAAAATATCAAACTTACTTCAATGAAATGTAATGCTGTTAAAAAGTGTATTTGCAGAGGCATCCTCATAATTAAAAATAAACTTCATCAATCACTTCTGGGGGTGGTAACTGTCAGTTCCTAATTGAAAGGTGGTGTGGGTGCATTTGCATAACGGTGACACACTTTTGCTTTGTTTTCTAGGCTATAGAAAGCGCAATTGGTGGTAACGCTTACCAACACAGCAAAGTGAACCAATGGACCACAAATGTAGTAGAACAAACTTTAAGCCAACTCACCAAGCTGGGAAAACCATTTAAATACATTGGTAATGGATTTTTGTTTCTTATTTGGGGGATAGTTCTTTCACACTGATCAGAGGTGTGTCCAGTACCAGAAACGACAGACAACGTGGCCTCCCCTCAGGGAGTCGGTCGTGTGTAGAGTATACGTTAGCACACTTGACCGTTTGGCTGCTGGTACAGTTGCAGGGTGTATGTGAAGCAGGGTCTTACCGGTCCCATCAGATGCTTTTAGCACAGGTGAAGCATAGAGGAAGTGTGTACAGCCAGCCACCCACTTGCAGTGGTTCAACTGAGGATTTTTGACTTTATGATGGATTTACCAGGGTATTAAGTTTATTTGCAACTTACATTTTCATTTATTGTCAATTTATGATGGGTTTATGGGACATGGTATAAAGGAGCACCTGTAATTTGTCAGTATAGTGAAAGGCGGCAATCTGTCCCTATAGTTTTTAACGAAAACATCAACCATGCGGAGCCATGTACATTTGCTAAAAGTGGACAAAATGACATTTATGTTACCAAGTAGATTTCTCTAATAAAAGTTTGTTTTAACTCAAGTGACCTGTGTAATTATGCAGAAGAATGGAGCGGGATTACATACAGCAAGTTCCTGCTTCTGGGACAGCTCCACTGACGGTATGATCTTCATTCATGTTAAAGAAGTTTTGTGTGCGTTTTCCCTGAAAGTTTTCAAGTCACTTCTTGGATCATGCTGATATATATTATCTAAAAGCAGTGTTTTCACTGGATGTTTCATATCTTTGAATGCAATACATGTTTAGCACCTTTTAAAACATTTCATGATAGACTTGCATAGCAGAGACATAGGTACTTGACTGTTGGCCTTACTGTGGTAGAACGTCAAGTCCGCCAGCTTTCCTTGTCTTAGATGCTACTCTGTCCTCCCACAGGGAGCTGCACCGTGCGATGGGAGAATAAGACCATGTACTGCATCGTCAGCGCCTTCGGACTGTCTATCTGACCTGCAGTCCAGCCTATGACCCTTCTCCTTTCGTCTCTAGTTCATCCTCTAACCACCAGCCGTGAATTCAGTGAACTCTTTTCTCGTTCTCTTTGTTTTGTGGCACCCTCAAAATGTAGAGAAAAAGACCAAATGACCACACTGTGATGTGAACTGCACCGAAGTCAGATGAGTATCCCCATAGGTCACCTGCAGCTTGCGTTGCCACTTGTCTTAACTCTGAAATTTCTTTTCAAAGGTGCTAAAATCTGCAATCTGCTAGTTTGAAACTTGCTCTACTCTGATTCAAATACACTAATTTTCCATACTTTATACTTTTGTTAGAATAAATTCTCCAACTCTAAAGTCTGTTGGGTTCTTCATAGTCTATGGTATAGTATCATAAATGATTTCCCGGTATTTAATGAGTGGCTTCAAAATTCATAAAACTAAAAAAGTTCGTTCTGCTGTGGCCCTCTCCATGATGTACTCATTTCCCCCATGGGACCAGGATCCTGAAGGTTCTGTTGGGTTCTGGTTAGATTCCACCCCTGGGCTTCACAGCCACCATTCTTAAGCCCTCCTCTTTTCACGGTTAAGGCGGGGGAGGTGGGCAAGCCAGTTTCTATTCTCTTAGCCAGAGAGCTCTAACTCACCCTTGGCCCAAAGCTAACACCGTGACTGTTGATCCCACTGCGACTGTTGATCTCTGGAGCACTCACAGACTGTTTTGGTACGTCATAGCTTACTAAATGGCTTTCACAATCACTTTGTGTCCTCAACAATTTGCAGCCATTTAAAAATCAGAAAATGTGTTTGGAAGTTATCTGATGGGTTTAAAGCCACACATCCAAGTAGGCAGGGAGATGGGCCCAAACCCAGGACTCATTTCCATCTTCAGTGCTCTTCCTCAGGCCACGTTAGACATGGCAATAAAGACACCTCGTCTCTGCTTGCTGAAATGGAAAAGCTCTGCCATTGTCTCCAAAGCTGCTTTATTCAAGCATTTATGTCTGCAAGGCCAAATTAACTCCACACACAAAAAGCAAATAAAGACAGAAGTGAATACTAAAAATTTATTAACATTTAGCAGAAGGGTAGCGTCGGAATTAAACCATTCGCAAAACATGACAACTTACCATAAACAAACATTCATTTTTGCCTGATGACAGCAACAACTGTGATGGGGTGGCACTGTGCTCCACAGACAGCCCACACCCGCGCACACGGCCCTACCTCTCCTTCACACCTGCACACACGGCCCTACCTCTCCTTCCACACCCGCACACACGGCCCTACCTCTCCTTCACACCCGCACACACGGCTCTACCTCTCCCTTTGGGCTTAAGGTTTAGTGTAATTTTTACAAATATTTACAGTCATTTTGTAAAAAGGCAGTTTTCAGTAGCAGAAAATTCTTCTGTTTCATAGTATGGTTACCAGCGTATCTCCAATGTCAAACCAAGATAAACAGCATCACAAGATGTCACAGACACACAACTTCCCTTCGGCCAGGGGGAAAGATTTGTATCTTCTTTTTTTCCCCCCAAAAGTCCAACCTCTAAGGCAACTGGTTTCTAAAATGCTCACAATACACAAATACTTCATGTTTCAAGTCTCATCTTCACTAAGTGTTCAGAGAGACATCCCTTTTGTGAGGATGTGTTTTTCCTATGATAGAGGATTCAGGAACTAATTTACCACATTATAACATACTATTTAACACAACTACCCTCAGTAAACAGTTCATAAAATACTTGACGCTGGTGACGTTTGTCTTGTAGCCTCCCCAATTAGTGGGCCGGGTTTACATAATGTATCTAGACTTTGATTGCAATCTGCAGTTATGTACAGTAACAGCCTTACCTTGAATATCGTATACATCTCTGCTCTAGCCTTTCAAATGGGGCTTGAGAGAGAGAAAAATGGCACCACATCACTGCTGTAATGATTTAATAATAAATCAAGCAGACTTACTATCCACATGGATAACGAAGCTCTCCCTAGGGAAACTGAAATACCTCTGGTCATCTTCCAGTTCCCCTAGACTGGACCAGTATTAAAAAATCCCAGAGATGATGTTACTAACGCCATTACCATGAAAAAACGAAAGTAAGCCCTTTCAGTTTGCAAAACTCTCCTTGCAGAAAGACAATTTTCTTGCTACTGTCAAAAGTTTCTGGCAGACTTTAGTGTTTTAACCCGATACTTACGGCACATATTCTATATGCCAACTGCTATAGAGTTTAAGCAAAATTGTACATGGGGCACGTAGTATGTTAACATTTGTGATATACCAGGGAAAACAATTTGAAAATACACGATAAACATTTTCCCCTTAAGTACTTTTTTTTTCTTATTTCCAACTTAGTTACACAAAGTAAATAAATAATCCCATATTTTTCATTTCAATGATGCCATGAAGACTCAATGTATAAAGATAATAGTCATCAGTTTATAATTACAGTATAGGACAAAGATAAGTTTTAAAAAGTTCTAGTGTGTGTATGGCTAAATGCCTCAAATATTTTACATTTACTGATAAATAACAGCATTCCAAATCATGGATGATTATTTTACAATGATTAAAAGTTGTAAACTGTATCACAGAATATGTTCATCAGCACAAGTCTTCATTAGTTTACATAAAATTATAGTTACAGTAGTCTTATTAGAAGTTGTAAAATTTGGTAACAGAAAATTTTTTTCAAACAAAGAAGTCACCACATCACTGCAAATTTAAAAATCATGTAAACTTGAGTTACCCTTGCAGTTACACTTTCCTTAAATATTCATATTTACAAGGTTTTTTTAAACAAGTGTGAATAGACTCCATATTAAAAGTATCACTAAAGTTTAAATTAAAAGGAAAGATACAGAGTCATAACAAATAGTCTCTCATGAACATCTCTAAGATCCTAGCACTATTTAACGTGGATGATGATCTGAAGCTCTGCATGGTAATATGAGTCAGTGCATAGATGAAGGAAAAAATTGGGTACTGCTTGCGTTTCGGAACTATCATCTTCTGGACCTCAATTCGCCAGGACGGCATCGGTCAGGTTGCCCACAGTTACCGGACGTTAACAGAGGTGTGACTGTAGAGGTCAAGGGGAAAGCAAGGGAGATGTCCACATGAGACTTCTATATGGAGACCTTGACTAAAAGGAACGGGGAAGCTCCAGGGCCTTGTATGATGCCACAGATTCAGCGGTGCCAAGGACTTCATGGAGGAGGTTGTCCCTACCTGACTGCCACGTGACGCATGGAGGACAGCGAACCCCTTCTGCACCAGCTGCCGTCTACCCAACTAGGTTTCCCATGAACCATTTAAAACATTTTTCTTTTTGCTTCAAAATACCAATTTTAAAAACTTTTGCCAATAAATCTAAAAATACCAGCTATAGGTGATGGGGAGGAAGGCAGCAAATCACACTGCCCTGTGTGTACCTACGCAACAATCTTGCGTGTTCTTCACACGTACCCCAAAACCTAAAATGCAATAAAAAAAAATTTATCTTTCATTGAGCTTTACTTTTAGACAAGTTCTTGCTCTGACACCCAGGCTGGAGTGCAGGAGCACAATCATGGCTCACTGCAGCCTCAACCTCTAGGGCTCAAGCATTTCTCCCACCTCAGCCTCCTAAGTAGCTGGGACTACACGGGCATGTCCTAGCAGGCCTAGTTTTTTTTTGTTTTTTTTTTAGTATTTTGTACAGTTGGAGTCTTCCTATGTGCCCAGCCTGGTCTCAAACTCCTGGGCTCAAGTGATCCTCCCACCTTTGCCTCCCAAAGTGCTGGGATTCCAGGTGTGAGCCAGTGCGCCTGGGCCTTCATTTCGCTTTTATTTAATTTTTAAAATAAAAAAAAAAATAAAAACTCTATTGCATTTCATATTCAACAGAACTGCAGAAACTGCTATTTATTAGAATAGTAAGCGTTCCTCTCCTGCCCACACCAGCCACAGGGAAATCACTCACAGTCATGTGTGTGCACACACAGGCCCCTGAAAAGCACCATGGCAATAAGACGTTCCCCACGGGAGTTGGTAACCTGCAAATTATCTTAGCCTTTCCTTATTCAGCTTATCAAACCCTCCCCAGAGCTCCACACTATTACTTCCCCTGTGGTGATGTAAAGGCTTGGAACCCAGGCATCCTCCATTCCCGAGGAGTTGTAACTCGCACAATGCACAAAACACAGGCTATGTAAGTGACCCATCACTTCAGCCACTTGGTTACCCAGGGCACTAGCCGCTCAATGAAGGAGGACTGCCCTGAAGCAGCCACAGAAAAGGCTTCCTTTGAGTTGAAAGGGTCAACAAACTACCAAAGAGAAGGGAAGCGAGCGGGTAATGCTGTCACGCTGTGGACCCAGTCACAGGGTTGCCCACGAACCTGGACTCGGTGGATGATTAAAAAAAAAAAAAAAAGGACATACTTCACTCCACTAAAAATGGGTAATTTCCTCCTCATCACTGAAAACATGCACTCTCGTCTGCAATCTTTGTAGAAAGGATTTGGCTGTTCAAACTTTTTATCAGCGCCTCTCTTCTCACAGCTACCATGACAATAAATTGGCTAAACATTTAAATTTGCCTTCAGTTTTGGTTTTCCTTTAAAAAATATATAAACAAATAAGGAACAGGAAATCTCTGCTGGAGAAAACTCAAACGGGACGGTTGGGAAACGGTCACCAGGGAAAGCATCCAGGCACCTTGTCACCTCACTGGCCTGGCAGGGGCTCAGTCACTGTCCGACTCCTCCTTGTACTTGGCTCGGATGGCCTGGCCGTTCTGGAGGGGCATTTCTTCATAGTCGCTCCTGTTAGCAAAGAGATTCACTTGAGACTGTCTTGACTTCTGACAGCTCTTTATTTTCTTCTTCTGCACTGACACGCCATTCCAGCAGGAACTCGCTCATAGCTTCACTCTCTCAATCTTCCATCTCCAGCTGCTACTGCTCACCCCGTCCTCCTCACCCCACCCCCAGGGCCCACCAGTCCAGAAAGCAGAGTTCTTCCTGCCCCACAGGTATCCAAAAGAAAGGAATACCACCACATCTAAGCCCGAATACTGGGAAAACAGAAAACCATGAACCACAGGACACTCCCAGGTAAATGCTTTAATCCCGTGAAAATAATTTTAGAATAGTAACCCGTTCAAGTAAGCATGCAAGGCCACACCGGGATGCCCAAGGTGCGCCGGCCTTCTAAGGGACAGGGCCTTACCCATAAATCACATCGTCATCGGAGTCATTGAGCATGGAGAAGGCAGGGTTGTCTTTCAGCTGCGACTCTGAAAACCAACAAGAGCATTTTCATCTCCAGCCACTGACACGATTAGCCTGGACAGGCAGGACGCTGTCCCCGACAAAGGACGGGAGTCAGAAAGGGCTGGACTCAAATTGCAGATGCTGGCACATCTGTACGAACCTCAACAAATCTCACAAGGCTATTTTCTCATCTATAAGACAGGGATGGGTTGGCCTGCCTGGCATGGACGTCCTGAAGGCTGAGGGAGGCGGCCGGTGGGAAAGCGCAGGCAGGCCTGCTGGTGCCCTCGCATGAGCTCTCCCTGTTGACGTGAGGAGCCAAAAACAGGCCCCAGGACACCTGGCTCTGCCATGCCTGCCCCCGCCCAGTCCTTGGACGTGCAGCAAGCTAATGCTTCTGAATGCCTTCTTGTGTAAAATGGGCACAATTACATGTTTATCATCAAGTTGTTGTGAAGCTTAAGTGAGATGCCGTTCGTGAAGGAGCTGGGAACGTGGCAGCGCTTGGTAAGATGTGTCGGGGCGGGGCGGGCCTGCCTGTGTTCTAGAGGGCTCCCATCCATTTCATTCCCTGTGCAAGAGGGTTGTTTTCGTTTCATTTCCAGATGACTGTTTCTGTATGTTTTGGCTTTTTTTGAATGATAACAACACTACTACAGATGGTCCCTGACTTACAATGGGGTTATGTTGTGATAAATCCATTGTTAAATTGAAAATATCATTAAAATGCATTGACTATACCTAATGCACTGAACATCATGGCTTAGCCTCTTCTGCCTTAAATGTTATTACATTAGCCTACAGTTGGGCAAAATTATCTAATGCAAAGCCTTTTTTTTAGCCACAGGTCTCATTCTGTTACCAAGGCTGGCGTGCAGTGGCGTGCTCATAGTTCACTGCAGCTTCACCTCTTGGGCTCAAGCGAGATCATCCCTCCTCAGCCAACCAAGTAGCTGGGACTACAGGAACATGCCACCACAACTGGCTAATTTTTAAATTTTTTCTAGAGGTGGGGTCTCTCTTTTGTTCACCAGGCTGGTTACGAACTCCCAGCCTCAAATAATCCTCCCACCTTGGCCTCCCGAAGTGCTGGGATCAAAGCCTATTTTGTAATACAACTTTGGACTATCTCATGAATTTATTGAATGCTGTACTGAAACTAAAACAAAGAATTGTTTGATTCCTCCCAAACGTGAATTGCTTTTGCACCATTGTAAAGTCAAAAAAAATCCCAAACTCGACAGCATAAGCTGAGAACTGTCTGTAGTTGACAGACTTGAGTTCGTCCGGCTGATGGACCTGTGGCTATCCTAGGGCACACTAACAAAGTGAGTGTATCAGCTCTGCATGGGAATGCCACGACACAGGCTCCACGTGTGCTGGGCCCCAACTCGTCTCAGAGCTCAGCATTTAAACTCACTGTCTCTCTGCCAAGAGAAACCACTAGGAATCATGGTGCCCAGATGAATGGGAAAACCAGGGAGTGGGTCACGGTGAACACAAGCTTCTGTGCCTGATACCTGGCCAGGAGCCCAGCCCCAGGGTGGCTTACCATAGAGGGCATTCTTCGACGGAGAGTACACAAAGGCCAAGGTGTAGAGATAAAAGTTCAGCAAGCCATAGAAAGATAAGAACTCGGCTGGTAGCACTGTTAAGGGAAGGAACAAAGCGCCTGGACGCCTCAGTCAGTGGCTCTGCAGCACCCTGACCACCTCCCGCCAGCAGCAGCCCCTTCTAGTACTAAGTACCAGACAGTGCATGGGGGCCATAACCCAGACATCAGGACGCCACGGTTCACGCCCACAGCCAGGGTCACAAGGACTCTACAAGATCACAGTCAATAACAGGTGAACTGCGGCCTCTCACGTCGGTGGAAACCTGGACCCACTGAGCCATGTGGTGGCACTCCTGTCACCACACCGAGAGCAGGGCCAGAAGAGATGAAGTTACAAGAGAAGGGCAGAAGGCCGTAGGCATGCGGTGAACCAAGGTATTCAGACACAATAATGAACAAACTCTCAAACCAGTTGTTCTGAACATTTTCTGGACTATGGCCCCCTAAGAAAATCTGATAAAAGCTTAACATAAAATTCAGTCACAAAAATCTGAAAAACTGTGTATTGATTCATACATTAACAGGGACACAGTAAGTCCCAAAGAAAGAACCCAAGATTTAAAGGATTAACTCCTGAAATGTCCCCATCGAGGGGGAGTGGAAAGCACACATATAAGCTCTTGGACCTCTGGGCAGGGGCAGGGCTCCCCAGAGGCCACAGCCCTGCGCCACTGGCCTGGGGCACAGGAGGAATCGAAGGGGGTCCCAGGACTTTATGAGGCCTTCTCTACAGACACAGCCTCAGCCTGCCACGACTATTATGCCCCTGGATACATCTCAGTGATGGGGAGGGAGACAGCCCTAGCAGAGGCTCACAGCAGCCCTCGGCCACCCCACAGTGCTCTGCTGGAGGGCAGCGGGGCCCGGACTCCCGTGATGTGCAGGAGTGACTGCACTGCACTTGGCACACGCTGTCCGCCCCTCTGGGTGGAAAGCAGGGTGGCATGGGCACGCTCCAGAGCGCCAACCCTCCCTGGGTTTTGAGCCGGGCTCTGCCACCCGAAACCTGATCTGGGGGAACTGCTGAGCCCTCGGGCCCAAGCTTCTTGTCTACAGAGGAGGCACAAGGCCACCCATTCCCGGGGCTGCAGCCGGGCCAACTCAGACACCTCTCGGCAGTGATGAGGCCTCCAGGGAACGGGACTCGAGGAGCGGATCCGTCTCCTCTCAAGAGGGGCAAACCTGAGCCACCAACCGCGCCGGCACTAAGCAGGCCTCCCGCGCCGGGGCCTCCAGTTAAAAGGATATAATTCTGGTAGTGAGTGGACAGCTCTGCTACAAAATTGTCTTGCAGCACTTGTGCTCCAAATCGCAAATAAAGGATGGCGATACTGAAAAAGACAGAGCAGCAGAGTATGTGACCATGCCTAAAAACAGCGCTAGCCTCAGAGAAGGCTCCACTCACCCCATTCAGCCTTTCTCTCTGCACACTACGATTTCTGCATGGGAACCTCCACACACATGCACAGATGCACACACACACATGGGCATAGAGCCCCTGCCTCTGGTTTCTGGTCTCGGATCTAGTCAGGCTAGACACACACACACACACACACACACACACACACACACACACACACGACACACACACACACGGGCACAGAGTCCCTGCCTCTGGTTTCTGGTCTCGGATCTAGGTAGGCTAGACCCACCAGCTGGCTGCAGAGATCGGATGAACCCTGCTGCGACCTGGTCACTCTCCACTCAGGGCCCTGAAGTCCCTCAGCACATGCTCTTCCCTGCTCTCACAGTTCAGGTTTTCGAGACTGTCTCCTGTGACAGAGCAGCCCTCCCCTAGGGGAAGCCACAGCTCCCCTTCCAGACACAGGAAAACCTTCCCAGTCAGTCGCAGTGACTTCCACAGTGACTAAGGCAATGCACCTTTAGTTCAGACTCCCGCCCAGTGACAGATGACAATGGAGGCCTTGGGTAGCACAGGTCACAGGCTCCTTCCCCACCTGCTTCCCCCTCACCTCCCACGTGCCACCCTCAGCCAGATGGTTTCATCGACATGTGCACCAGACCCTCCGCCTCCCCAGCTCAAGCCCCTCCAGCGGCCCCCACGGCAAAACGCAAGCCGGACCCGAGAGCCCGCTCCACCTGCCACCGTGCCCACGCCTGCTCACCTCCCACCATGCTGCTGTCCCTGCAACTTGCCACACTGACACCCACCCAGGCTGCCAGCGCCTGCTCTGCAGCCTGGAGCAGCCACACACAGCTTTCAGGGCTCCTCCTCAGGTCCCCAGCCAAATGTCACATCCCCAAACCACTCATCTATGGCGCACTCCGTCCCCTCCGCAAGTCACATCTCCGTTTCGTTTGCGGCATGGCACGCAGGCAGTGTCTTTACTTGTTTGCTACTTGTCTCCCTCTGTGGGAACATAAACCCCACGACAGGAACCCGCCTGCCAGGGCAGCCACTCGGGCACTATGTGTAGGATAAATGCGTTCCCCTAACACTCCTGTGAGAAGAGAGCACGAGGCAGAGCAACTTCTGAGACAGAGGCCAACAACAGTAGACAGCAGCTCCCACCTCGGGGGCTAGGTAGTTTGAAGGTGAGGATGTGAGACTGAGAATGTGAGGGTGAGTGTGAGGATGTGAGAATGAGGGTGAGTGGGGTGAGGGTGTGAGAGGGTGAGAGGTTGTGAGTGATGGTGCGAGAGTGAGGCTGTGAGGCTGTGTGAGAGTGAGGGTGTGTGAGGGTGTGAGGGTCAGGGTGTGTGAGGGGGTGAGGGTCAGGGTGTGAGGGGGTGTGAGGGGGTGAGGGTGTGTTGAGTGAGGGTGAGGGGGTGTGAGGGGGTGAGAGTGAGTGAGGGTGGGTGAGGGTGTGTGTGTGTGACGTGTGAGGGTGAGGGTGTGTGAGGGTCAGGGTGTGTGAGGGGGTGAGGGTCAGGGTGTGAGGGGGTGTGAGTGGGTGAGGGAGGGTGAGGGGGTGTGAGGGTGTTAGGGTGAGGGAAGGCGAGGGTGAGGGTGTGAGGGTGTGAGGGTGTGAGGGTGTGTGTGAGGGTGTGAGACGGTGTGTCAGGGTGTGAGGGTCAGGGTGTGAGGGGGTGAGGGTCAGGGTGTGAGGGGGTGTGTGTGAGGGGGTGAGGGTGGGTGAGGGTGGGTGAGGGTGTGAGGGTGAGGGTGGGTGAGGGTGAGGGGTTAGGGTGTGTGAACGAGGGTATGTGAGGGTGTGAGAGAGGGTGTGAGGATGTGAGAGGATGAGAGTGTGAGGGTGAGTGAGGGTGAGGGTGCGCATAAGTGAGGTGTGTGTGTGTGAGAGGGTGTGAGGGTGTGTGTGAGGGAGAGGGTGTGTGAGGGTGTGCTTGTGTGAGAGTGGGCGTGTGTGAGGGTGTGAGCATTTGAGGGTGTGTGAGCATGTGTGAGGGTGAGCGTGTTTGAGGGTGTGTGACCATGTGTGAGGGTGAAGGTGTGTGTGAGGGTGTGAGGGTTAGGGTAAGAGTGAGGGTGTGAGGGCGTGAGTGAAGGTGAGGGTGTGTCAGTGTGTGAAGGTGTTTAAGGGTGAGGGTGTGTGTGAGGGTGTGAGCATGTGTGAAGGCGTGTGAGAGGGTGTGAGGGTGAGTGAGGGTGTGTGTGAGGGTGTGAGAGGTTGTGAGTGTGTGAGAGGTTATGAGGGAGTCAGAATGAGGTTGTGTGAGTGAGCCTGTATGTAAGGGTGTATGATAGTGTCTCAGACGTCACAGAGACGCAGTACACAGTTAGCACTGAACAGAGCCTAACAGTTAAAACACACATGCTGTATCATTCTGAGTAAATTCTGATGCTGAAAGAAATCTGAGTCCAAGTCCGAGCTGAGCTCCCACTCCAAGGGATGGGATGCCACTCATAGGGATGCCTATCTCAGTCCTCGCCCTCCACAAGGTGGGGACCCCCAGAGCCCACCTAGAAAGCTAGGACAAGGGCCGACTCCCAGAAGCCCTTTGTCACTCCCATAAAGCAAGAGGGCCGATATCCCCCTAATTGCCATCCAAACAACCTAGAAAGGAAAGGAGCAGCTACATTTTTCCCTCTTCTGGATTCTGATTTTAGGAGAAAGAGACAAACCATAAACAACCCACCAATTGATCTGGAATCTAACAACTTCCCAGCCCTCTCTGTTCCTCTACCAACTGGCCAGCACCAGTCCCCACGGAGGTCCGGGGCGCTCAGGCCAAGCCAAGCCTGCCCCGGGAGCCCCTGGGCTGACCCCACTCCCTGTCACAACAGGACCCAGCCCACCTCGCCTCACATAGCCCCCCCATGGCGCCAACGGAGCATGCTGCTCTGCTCAAGGGTGTCTGCTGTCCTAACTCGCGCTTAGAGTCCTGTCCTCGGGGAACCACAAGGATCCTGAGGTTCCCAGTGTGCTCACATCTGTCGTGTAGAATTCCAACCGTCCAGCCGACGACTGCATGCCGCACATATGGCAGGTGGCACAGCAAGGACGGAACACGCCCCGCGCAGGCCGAGTGCGCGCGAGCGAACGCGCTCCAGTCCCCACCACTTACAACGAAAACGTGCTCTCCAAGCTGGCGTCCGCTCACTGCCCACCTTGGTGGGAGGCCCTCTAACCTCATGAGTCTACTGGGCTAGAAGGACCCTGAAATCCACTCCACAACAGGAACCCCTCACCGTAAAAGTAAAATTCCGTTTTGCTCTTTTTAAGAAATTAAGTCTTCTTACCTAATGACAAGTACTACAAAAGTCAATGCGGTCAAAAATTTTAACCTGAGATCTGAAAAACAAAGAAACTCTCATTAACAACCCTGGAAGTACATTCCACTCTCATCTCATTTTGTTTTGAAAATTTAAAAAAAAAAAAAAAAAAAAATGAAGCAAAGCTCTTTGTACAAATGCTCCTCCCCCCGCTTCCTCCCCTCTTGCCAGACTTGCCCGGAGTCACCTGCGGCACAGGAGAACGCTGGTCCCTTCCAGGGCCAGGGTGGTGTCCAGGGAGGCCACAGCCACCATCCTCTGAAGGGACAGACTCGGAGAAGGATCCCGCAAGCTCAGGGTGACTCTCCCTGCTCTGCAGGGTGCAGTCCCACAGGACGCAGGCCACTGATGGCCCCAAAGGCCAGAGTAACCTGTTAGGCCTGTTGTAGCCTCCCGGCACCAAGTGCCCTGGTCCCCAGCCTGTGGGGATGGACCAGTCCCTGGGCCCTCGGGGAAGGCCCCTGGCTTGGGAGACTCCAACCACTTCTTACCCCACCTGAGTCACTCCTGAGCCACCCCTGCACCGAGTGATTCTGAAAGGGGCACTTACCCACATAAGGCATGTGCCGTAGCTCGGAACACGCCCGCACTATCAAAAACAAGAGGTACAGGACGTACACCGCCGCCACCACCATGAAGAAGACCTTCATTCCCTAGAAGGAAGCAAGGCGGCACTTGAGTCAGAACAGGGCCTCTGACCTTCTCCTTCTGGCGCCGCCACAGCCAGGAAAGCCACAGGTTTTTAGAAGGGACTTAAATCCTGAAGGCCCCTCCAGTAAGCAGAACAATGGGGTCCCATCGGGACCATGTGCTCAGTCCCCCCATGAGTACAGGCATCTCCCCCGAGACGACGCCCCAGGCCTTGCAAATCAGCGGAGCAGAGCCCAAACTCCTCCCCCACGGACCCGTCCAGGCACAGCAGGTGCTCACACACTGCAGTGGCCACTATCTGTCTTCTCTCTCCCCTGGGGACAAGGACCTGGCTCCCCACCCTGCCCCCTGCATGTGGGAAGCCGGCATGTATCCAAGAAAAGACCCAGGCTGGGCCCCGGGAATCCACATGCTGTCTCAACCACTCCGGCCCTCTGTTTCCTTATCTGTGACACGAGAGGCTTGAATGAAATTAGAGGCCCTAAGATCTAAAAAAAACCACAGTTCTGTAAGGTCATTACAGCAACCCAAAGCCCTTTTCCAAAGACAGAGCTGTGACGGGGAAGGCAGGCCCACGGGTTCTGTGGAGGGCAAGGCCGCGGGGTGGACAGTGCCCTTGATGCGTCCCCGCTCCTCTGAGGCTCCGGCCCAGGCCACACCCCAGCCCTTTTCTGCCCTCTCAGCGCCAGAGTTCCCCTCTTATGGTCAAGGCTGAGAGTGCAGGACAGCACAGCAGGAATTGGGATCCTTCTTCTCCAAAGAACCCTTAGTTGGGACTTATGTAAAGCAAAGGGACTGGACTAGACCGGCGTGTTTAGCACAGAGAAGCCTCTGCTCTTCAGTGTCTCCTTCAGCAACGGACATGAGCTCCGGGGTCAATTCCAGAGCCTGCGTGGCTGGTGCTTGCCGACACCTGACCGGAAAGGGAAGAGCAGCCGACCAGAGCCACAGTGACATGGCCTCGGCTGTATCCTTCCAGGGACTGTCACTGCCATCAGCCACAGACCAAAGACTAGGAGTAAACACACAGTTTTAAAGAGCTTTTCTGACGGGCACGGTGGCTCACGCCTGTAATCCCAGCACTTTGGAAGGCTGAGATGGGTAGAGCACTTGAGGCCAGGAGTTCGAGACCAGCCGGGCCAACATGGTGAAACCCCATCTCTACTAAAAATACAAAAATTAGGGCTGGGCGTGGTGGCTCACACCTGTAATCCCAGGACTTTGGGAGGCTGACTGGGGCGGATCATGAGGTCAAGAGACTGAGACTGGTCCTGGCCAACATGGTGAAACCCCGTCTCTACTAAAAAATACAAAAATTAGCTGGGCGTAGTGGCATGAGCCTACAGTCCCAACTACTCGGGAGGCTGAGGCAGGAGAATCGCTTGAACCCAGGAGGTGGAGGCTGCAGTGAGCTGAGATCGTGCCACTTCACTCCAGCCTGGGCAACAGAGCAAGACTCCACCTCAAAAAACAAATAAATAAATACAAAAATCAGCCAGGTGTGGCAGCACACACCTATAAGTCCCAGTTACTCAGAAGGCTGAGGCAGGAGAGTCATGTGAACCCAGGAGGCGAAGGCTACAATGAACCAAGATCATATCACTGTACTCCAGCCTGGTGACAAAGCGAGACTCCGTCTCAAAAAAAAAAAACAACTTTCCCCCAAATCTTCCACCCTTAAACTTTCTATAGTCGGGAATCCCAAGTAGCCAGGTGACAAGCTCAACAGAACAACTGAAGTCACAAAATTCAGTAACTTTATAAAGAAGAATAAGTCGTAGGCTTCATTAACAGTTCTTACCTGAAAATTTCCGGTGTCAACTCGATACTGGTACATTGGATCGTGTAATTCATTAACTCTAAAAATTGACATTATAAATCATTACAGATTAATAACTACCTTTACTTTTTATTTCACATTTCTTCGTATTGACTTTTTGGGGTTTTTTACTTATTAACGTAAACTACTTGCTACCAATAGTGAAGCATTTTTAGAAAGCAATCCTAAATTTATGAGAAATCCTGAATTTCGTATTTCACACGGAAAAAGCATACAATCCTACCAACTGTCCACACTTACCAGTACTGGAAAGTTGCAGTATTTTTTATTACACAAGATCCTGTACTATTTCTCTTGCAGTTTTAAGAGCTGCTTTTCCAGTCACCTTTTTAATGGCACATAACGGGTACTAGGAAATACACAAGCAAGCAAAGAAAGCGATAAAAACAAATAGAAACTTCCATGAGATTAATTTTCAAAAATCAAAACAGGTTGCTAAGATGGCAGGGACTCAGGGACAGGGGACTGGAGCAGATGGGGTGACGCACTGCTGTTGCTTGGGTTAGTGGGGCATGAAACCAGGTACGCTGGGCTCTGAAGTCCCACCTGGAAATGGAACTACTCTGCACAAGTACTATTCATGCGAGCCAGGCTGCTACCACGCTAGGTTTCTGCTGCTGTGAGGCCATCTTACAGGACAGAACACTAGAAAGATCTGAGCGTGGGAGCGCGCACAGGGGCCCGATGGTCTGTAGATGCAGCAGAGCGTCGGTGGACGGTGGAGAGCCGGGAGCCACCTGAGATTCGCGCCTACAACATCATCTCCTCTCTCTAAAGGAGACATCTAAAACGACATGGGTCTTTTTTATTTTCCATCTTAGACCGGTAGAATGGTGGATTCTCTACAAGCCATTTAAGCAAAAACGAATGTGTCAGTTCAAGTCACACAGCTGTCCCCCCATCTGTGGTTTCACTTTCAGCAGTTTCAGTTAACCAAGATCAACTGCAGTCAGAAAACATTCAATGGAACATTCCAGAAAAGGGCAGTTCCTAAGCGTTAAATTGCATGCCAATTTGATAGCGTGATAACACCTTGCACAATGCACCCAGGGGCGTGCGCCACCCCTTTGTCCCGTGTACCTCGCTGCATACGCAGCTCGCCTGTTAGTCATCCACATCATCTGCTCCTGACACACAGCCACCGACACCGTCATGGCTGCATGACCCTCCTGACATGTCACAGGAAGCTCAGGAGCAGCCTAGCGCTACATCATGATGCCTACACCATGCCCCACGCTTATCCCACACGCAGAGATCGGATCATCTCACATCATCAGAAAAGTACAGGACAACAGAATATTTTGAGAGAGAGAGCATGTCATGTAACTTATATTGTTATAGTTTTTCTATTTTATTAGTTACTACTGGCCTAACATAATCTTTATCATAGGTGTGTTATGTATAGAGAAAAACCTACCAGCAGGGTGGGCACTGGGGAGGTCAGAGTAGTCTCATCTTTGGTGGAGGTCGGGCCGGGTGGGGCAGCCAGGTGGGCTGTCCGGAGGTGGCCTTTGGGGGTGCCACTGGCTCTTAGGGGCAGCTTGGGCCCCTTCCAGCCAGGGCTGGTGGATGGGCTGTGGGAGCCCACGGGTCCAGCAGCCATGTGTGGACCTTAAAGCACCTTGCGATCTTTGGAAGCGCTTTTGACAGCTCTGAAAAGCTTTGTATTGAAAACTAAATTGAAGCACTTTGTAGCCTCCAATTAGGCGATTAGGCATCTCTGAAGTAGCCTGTGCAAACAGAAGAACTTGGTGACTTCAGAAACACACTGTGAGCTTGGAAACCGAAGCAAAGCCTTTAGTAAATGCCAGGTCATTGGGACTTTTCCGAAGCACCCTGGCATCTCTGAGACCTTGAGCACTGTGATGGGCGGTGGAGAGAAGAGGGAAAGGTGTCCATGGCGTTGGAATGGCGCAAGGTCAAGTACACCACTGGAGCAGCACGTGGGAAGGTGTCCCAGCAAGCACAGCTGCCTCCAGGAGATGCGGCCAGTTCAGAGATCTGTGTTGTTCAGGAGGGGCCGGCAGCCCCAAGCACCTGAGCGCCCAGGAGGACGACGACGTGACTTGCTCTCTGACGTTATCCTGGGGGCTCATCCGGTCGCAGAAATGACTCCTCCTCCTCGACACAGGAGGAGCACGGTCATCTCAGTCTAACACTGCTACTTTTAAGTTCCAGCTCCCTTTCTAGCCTCATGCATTTCAAGGAAAGCACTTCCCTTCTAACAACAAGCAGCCAGAAAGAGCAGACAGCGAAACACAGATAAGCTGGGCACAGAGAGAGGAGGGAAAGTCTCTTGGGTGACCACCAAACTTCACACTCACACAATGGACCCAAGTCAAACAGTGGGCCCTAGTGAGCACATTCCTTTCCCTTCATGTGTACTAAGATAGGGAAGCTAAAAGCAGACTGGGGGACGGCGGGTATGCCTGCAGCTGCAGGAAGATGTATGGGAAGAGACACACAACTTTCCCTCCCAGATAAGCAAGACAAAGAGACACAAAAAATCGAGCCTGTGATAAGCTCTCCCGCCCTGAACCCTTCAATACTGTTAGTATGTAAGAGAGAGTGCCTCTAACCTAACTCTGCCAGAAGCCCCTCAGGTTTATTCTACAAAATAAACCTGTGTTTGACTGTTGAGCCGCTTCTTTCTTTCCTCTGCTTAACTCTTACGCTCTTACCCCACATGCCTCCAGCACCAGTGTGGGCGGGACCACCACCAAAGGCTGCCTGATTCAGAGCACTTGGGGGTTCCTTTCGTCAGGGAGAACCCCTCCACGTTCTGCCAACACCTCTCTAGAAATAGCTTCTCCAGAAAAGGAAGCCTGCAATTTAAGGTTGACTCCAAAAATCTCATAGCTCCACAAACTCTGAATTTGCAGCTGAAGGTGAGGGTCAGGATGGTATGACTGAGGAACACAACAAGTTCCAGAAAAGGAAGAGAGACAGACTTTGATATCAGGGATCCGCATGAGCTACCAGAAGGCTAACCAGGGCATCCAGGGGAAATCGAGGCCAAAAAGTCAATGAGAGGCTGTCACTAGGGCAAAACCAAGCATAGGAGAGTGTCCCAGTTGTGGAAAAAGACCAGCTAGGAATGAAGGAACAGGCATCACTGAGAAGGAACCACCAAGGAACCACATTCACACAACAGGCCCAAGTAAAACAGTGGGCCCGAGCAAGCACATTCCTTTCCCTTTAGATGCACTAAGACAGGCAAACTAAAGGCAGACTCCGGGAGTATGCATGCAGCTGCAGGAAGATGTGTGGAAACAGATACACAACTCTCCCTCCCAGATAAACAAGACAGAGATACAGAAACATTCTGAGCCTCTGATAAGCTCTTCCACCCTTAACCCTTAAATACTGTTAAAGACACAGTGCCTCTGACCTACCTCTGCCAGAAGCCCCTCTCAGGTTTATTCTCCGAAATAAACCTGTCTTTGACTATTGAGCTGCTTTTCATGATCCTTTCCTATTTAGCGTTTTGGTTTTTTTTTGAGATGGGAGTCTCTGTTGCCCAGGTTGGAGTGCAGTGGCATGATCTCGGCTCACTGCAACCTCTGCCTCCCAGGTTCAAGCAATTCTCTGCCTCAGCCTCCCAAGTAGCTGAGATTATAGCCGCCTGCCACCACGCCCCACTAGGTTTTTTACATTTTTAGTAGAGACAGGGGTGTGAGCATCACAGCCAGGCTGGTCTCGAACTCCTGACCTCATGATCCACCACACCCAGCCCTTTAACTCTTACATTATTCAGCCACATTCCTCGGGCACATCCATTGTCACTTGGACATGTTATATTCTAAACTACCTTTCAAAGGGACCTTGACTAAGCTCAGAAGAATTTATAACAGCTCCTTCCCTAAGGAGTTTCAGTGCTGCGTCTCTGACTTTTGTTATCCTCACACCCTGACAATCTGCCTACAGGAGGATCTACTAAAAGGTGGTCTAGTATGCGGGGGGGCTTTGGCTGTCACCCTCATTTTGCACATTGGGATAGTAAGGTCAAGGAAACAATCTTTTATAAGCCTAAGACACCCCGAGACTGTGGCATTTGGCAAAAAAGGCTACCTAATTCGGAGCACTCTGGGTTTGGTTTTTGTTTTTTTGAGACATAGTTTCATTCTTGTCGCCCAGGTTGGAGTGCAATGGTGTGATCTTGGCTCACCACAACCTTTGCCTCCTGGGTTCAAGTGATTTTCCCACCTCAGCCTCCTAAGTAGCTGGGATTATAGGTATGTACCAACATGCTTGGCTAATTTTGTAATTTTAGTAGACAAGGGGTTTCTCCATGTTGCTAAGGCTGGTCTCGAACTCCCATTACCTCAGGTATTCTGTCTGCCTCGGCCTCCTAAAGTACAGGGATTACAGGCATGAGCCAGCACGCCCAGCCTTGGGGGTTCCTTTTGTCAGGGAGAACCCTTCCATGTTCTGCCCAACTACTCTCTAGAAGAAATAGCTTCTCTAGAAAAGGAAGCCTGCAGCTTAAAGGCTGATTCCAAAGATAGCTCTCCTAACTACATAAACTCTGAATTTGCAGCTGAAGCTGAGGGTCAGGATGATATGACTGAGGAACCCAACAAGGTCCAGAAAAGGAAGAGGGACAGACTTTGAGATCAGGGCTCCGCATGATCTACCTGAAGGCTAACCAGGGCATCCAGGGGAAATCGAGGCCAAAAAGTCAATGAGGCTGTCACTAGGGCAAAACCAAGCATAGCAGTGTCCCAGTTGGGACACTGTGGTGTCCTAACAGTCACCCTTGCTCAGAAGGATCAAGAGTCAGTCCCAGCGGGGAGTGGAGGAGGCCCAGACTATGCCAGATAGGAGCAGCTTCCATGATGGACGGTAGTTACAGACCCTCAGGACAGACCCAGTGAGGAGCCACCTGGGGACCAAGGGATGGCCATTGACAAACGTTCTCCACCCCTAGTTTATGAATGACTCTCTCATTTAGAAATCCCAAAGCGTAAAGGCAGGAAGGTGGTGGTGGAGCACGCCCCTCTTCAGGAAGCAACTGGTCTGATGTGGAGATTTCCATGGTCAGATTCTCTCAGGAGGAACCTGTCTTGCTCAAACCCCGAGCCGTTCCGGAGCCTTCTTCTCTCATCACTATGTCATGTATCCGCCTCATTTGCACAGTAGTCCTTGGCGTGAGTATGGCAGCCAGTGCGCCAGCCGCCCCAAGCCTTCCGGCTACCCTCTGTGGGCAGCAGCGACGACACAGCACGGGCTGGGAGGAGCGGCCAGAGCTGCCTGTCGATGCTCCCAACTCTGCAGTGAGCTCCCAAAACACCTCCAGAGTTGAGGAGGCCTCAGAGGAAGGCAGGTCCCACAATTCTCATCCATTTAACTTTACCAGAAGCTTGGAAGAAAAAGAGGTGAAGGAGAAAAGAACATTCCAAGAGGAGACACCACAACATCCTTATGGAGGACACGCATCCAGCTCGCTGCCAAAGAGCCACTGGAGCCAGGCCTAGATGGCTTCGTAACATCCACTGTCACTTGGACATGCTGTATTCCAAGCTGCCTTTCAAAGGGACCTTGACTAAGCTCAGAAGAATTTATAACAGCTCCTTCTCTAAGGAATTTCAGGGCTACGTCTCAGACTTTTGTTATCCTCACACCCTGACAAGCTGCCTACAGGAGGATCTACTGAAAGATAATCTAATATGGTGGGCCTTTGACTGTCACCCTCATTTTGCACCTTACTATAGTAAGGTCAAGGAAGCAATCTTTTTTTTTTTTTTTTTTTTTTTTTCTGATACAGAGCCTCGCACTGTCGCCCAGGCTGGAATGCAGTGGCACAATCTCGGCTCACTGCAATCTCCACCTCCTGGGTTCATGCAATTCTCCTGCCCTCAGCCTCCCAAGTAGTTGGGACTACAGGTGTGCAACACTATGCCCAGCTAATTTGTATGTTTGTGTGTGCGTGTGTGTGGGTGGGTGTTTTTAGCAAAGACAGGGTTTTACCATATTGGCCAGAATGGTTTTGATCTCCTCCTGACCTCGTGATCTGCCCACCTCGGCCTCCCAAAGTGCTGGAATTACAGGCATGAGCCACTGCACCCAGCCAAGGAAGCAATCTTTTACACGCCTTAAGACACCCTGAGGCTGTGGCATTTGGAGAAATAGGCTTTGATTACTCCTACAAGTAAACCACCCCTGTCCCACAACAGCAAAAGGTATTTGAGAGACGGCTACAGCTGGCTGTCTCTAAAGAAGCCCTTAGTGATCCACCGTCATGAAGCTGATGAAGAGCTGTTGGACATCATGAGAAAACGTGTGTCCTCTGACTACAAGATCCATAAGCACTGCTTCACCGGCAGCTCCCCGGCCATCACACTCCTGCTGAAGTACTCTCTCAACAGGTCAGTGGGCCTCAAGGCAGACTTGACATACTCGTCCGCCTGGGAGGCCCGGGAAAACACTGAAGCAGATCCCACTGGAGAGAATCATTGTGGAAACAGATGCTCCCTACGTCCTCCCTCGCCAGGTTCCCAAAAGCCTTTGCCAGTGTGCCCACCTGGGCCTGGCCTTGCATAGGGCCCTAGAGATTGCTAAGGCCAAAGATCCACTCTCCCACACCACGGCCGCTTGGCAGAGAACACCAGTTGCCTCTACAGTCTTTAAGCAGAGAGGCTACAGTCCTCAGAAGCCTCCCAGAAAAGGGCAACCAGCAGCCTGACACAACACTGGCTGGCCTGAAGGTTGTGTCCCAGGTGGAGGATGTGTTTGGAGGGCCGATTGGAACACAGAAAACCAGAACGGGGTCTTTTTCCTTGACGCAGGTCATGCGGCTCCAGCTTCTGGGTGTGGAATCAGGGGTAAAGGGATACCCATGATAGCACCGGGGTTTTGCCTCCCAGCCAAAATGCTCCAGGGTAGGAGCAATGGAGGAGTGTGATGTGAGGGTACTAGGAGTTTATCAATCCAAATCCTGTTCTCTGCAGCCTGTGTTTTTGAGCAGACTGTGACTAGTCACCCTCCTACTCGTCTAAAAAAAAAAAAAAAAAAGAAAAAGAAAAAGAAAAGCATGGTAAAGGGGTATAAACAGGTATAAATATGGATCAGTACTATCTGAGCCCACAGGCAGTAACCGGGGAGTATAAACAGGTATATATATGGATCAGTACTATCCGAGCCCACAGGCAGTAACTGGAGGGTATAAACAGGTATATGTATGGATCAGTACTATCCGAGCCCACAGGTAGTAACCGGGGAGTATAAACAGGTATATGTATGGATCAGTACTATCCGAGCCCACAGGTAGTAACTGGGGGGGTATAAACAGGTATATATAAGGATCCAAGCCCACAGGTAGTAACTGGGAGTTTGGGAGCAAATCTCCCAAAGATAAGGGGGCTCTACTGTGCCACCAAGTTAGATACACTGAAAACCAATTCTTTTATACAAGTTCACAAAACACAGTTTGATTCTGGGCCTTTCTCCTTTTCTTTTTTTTTTTTCTAAGAAGGGTCTTACTTTGTCACCGAGGCTAGAATGCAGTGGTGAGATCTCAGCTCACTGCAACCTCTGCCTCCCGGGCTCAAGCGATCCTCCTACCTCAGCCTCCCACGGAGCTGGGACTACAGGCATTCGCGACCACAACCAGCTAATTTTTGGTAGGGAAGGGGTTTTGCCATATTGCCCAGGCTGGTCTCAAACTCCTGAGCTCAAGTGATCTGCCTGCCTTGGCCTCCCAAAGTGCTGGGATTACAGGCACAAGCCACCGTGCCTGGCCTGGCCTTTCCACTTTTGTCAAATGCTTTTCATGACTGACGTTTCACAAATAGAATTACTCACGTTTGCCATATTCCTAGCGTAACAGAAGCCAACCATAATAGTCCAACGATGAAGAATTTAGGCAAATAGAAAGTTAAACACTTTCTTTCTCCCTAAGAAGAAAAAAAAAAACAGTAAGAAATAAAGAAAACCAAGTTGGTAATTCTACACGACGTGCATTTTTTCATTGAGTATGGGTCTTCAGATGGGTCTTCATGGAGAAATTCAGCTCTCAGGGCTGCCGTCAGAGTTGGGAAGGGAAGATACAGTCTGTAACCTCCCAAGGTGGTGCGGAGGGCTGTGGCTCACCTGGACGCGAATCCCGTGGTACACACAAAGCCAGAAGAGCAGCAAGGCGCACAGGAACATGGACTGAAAGAGGTCATCCAGCATCCCTGGGAGCCAGCTGTTCACCAGGAAGGAGAGGGGGAAGAACGGATCTGGAACGCAAAGGGCAGAAATGCATGAGGGAGACAGAGTCCACTAGCACCCAGCAGAGAGCACCCCGTCTGTCTGTGGGGTCGGAACCCATGACCAGCTTTTCTCCCTGGTCAGAGCCAAAGGAAAGGCAGTGAACCGAGGGCTACTTTGTTTTCCCAAACACCTAAAAGCCAACGAACAGATTGCTGCACTGATCATGACAGAGCGCCGTATGCCGCTGCCATCAGCTCCTCCCGGAGCCTGGGGGTTCCAAGCGCAGCAGCTCAGGAAGCAAACACTTTTGGAACAGGACACGAGCAACAGCCAGCCGTGTCTGGCCACCTTCAGCCAAATTCCAGGACTGCTGTGTCTGTAGCACATCCAAGTTTTAACTACCAAACAGCTGCCTGTTTGTTAGAGAGCCAGGGATCTGCCCCAGCTTGGTGAAACACGGTTCCTGGGGCACCAGGCAGCATACTGCAACACACTCCTTCTGGGGCTCCCTACCGGCTCTTCTGGGCCTAAGCCATCACCAAGACGCCTTCCAGCTTTCCTTTTTTTAAGAGTCTTACTCGGTCATCCAGGCTGGAGTGCAACAGTGTCATTATGACTCACTGCAGCCTCAGACTCGGCCTCAAGTGATCCTCCCACCTCAGCCTCTCAAGTAGTTGGGACCAAAGGTACGCATCACCATGCCCAGCTAGTTTTATTTTTTGTAGAGTCTTGCTATGTTCCCCGGGCTGGTGCTAAACTCCTGGCTTCAAGCGATCTTCCTGCCCCAGCCGCCCAAAGTGCCGGGACGACAGCACGCCCCTGTACCCGGCCTCCAGCTTAACATTTTCAAGGAGAAAGCTCCTACGTGAAAATGGAACCACCTACCATTGTAAAGCAGCAGCAGAGGCAGGAGGACAGACATCCACTTCTGCTCGATGCCCCAGTCTCTCATGGAAAATTTCCGGAGGGAATGCGCAAACAGGCACTGCAAACCAAACAGCCTCCGGTCACTGCCTTTGCTCACGCCCGGCCTGCGTACCACACTGTCTTCTCACATCAATGGTCTAGGTGCCCCGCCAAGATCCGCTGCCTTAAGCCCCGCCTGAATTGCCTACTGTGTCCCAGAGGCCATCGGTGACAACCAAAATAAGGTTGTTACTTCCTGCAGAGGAGCCACAGCTAAGACAGGTTCTGAGCTGTTCTCACAGGAGGAGAGGAGATGGAATTTAACAGCCATAAAAGTCCCCTGCAGAAGGAAAGAGCACCCACCGTCTCACCTCTACCGGCGAGGAAAACAGGGCCCACTTCCATCGGGCCTGCCCCCAGAGAGCCAGCACACAGAAGGGCCCACCCAGGACACAGGACACACCCACGGGCGTGACAGAAGCCACGTTTCAGCAGTGCAACTGCTACAGATGGCACCAGCTTCCAAGTGGTCAGGGGATGCACTTATTCTCAAACACCTCCCTGAGGAAGGTGTTTTAGGCCAGTGAAAGAAGTTTCTTTAAACTGCTTTAAAACACTATACAACCTTTAATTTCTAGGCCAGGGTTTTGTTGTTGATTGTTTCCTTGTAATCTGATATAAGCCAATGGTTTTCTAGGCAATACGGATTTCCTTCCCTAGGAACCATCTTCCCTCTTTTTAACAACATACTTGGGGCCCTGAGTAATAGCTCTTAGGGCTCCACAGTGTGGCAGCACAAGCCCAGGCATCACAGAGCCTTCGAGAAGAGGCAAGAGTTTCTGACTGCACGACACAAGTATCAGCTTTCTGCTTTCACTTATGAAGCTCGCTGGGGGTCCTGAGATCCTGGAGGTCCTGGGCTGGGCCTAAGCACCACAACCTCCAGCTTTCTGTGGTTCTAGCACCCCACGCCCTTCCCTCCAGCTTCACGGCTCTAGCACCCATGCAACATCCTTCCCCCAGCTCCCTGTGGCTCCAGCACCCACGCCCTTCCCCCCAACTCCCTGTGGCTCCAGCACCCACGCCCTTCCCCCAGCTCCCTGTGGCTCCAGCACCCACGCCCTTCCCCCCAACTCCCTGTGGCTCCAGTACCCACGCCCTTTCCCCAGCTCCCTGTGGCTCCAGAACCCACGCCCTTTCCCCAGCTCCCTGTGGCTCCAGAACCCACGCCCTTCCCCCAGCTCCCTGTGGCTCCAGCACCCATGCCCTTTCCCCAGCTCCCTGTGGCTCTAGCACCCACGCCCTTCCCCCCAACTCCCTGTGGCTCCAGCACCCACACCCTTCCCCCCAACTCCCTGTGGCTCCAGCACCCATGCCCTTCCCCCCAGCTCCCTGTGGCTCCAGCACCCATGCCCTTCCTCCCTGTGGCTCCGGCACCCATGAGCTCCCCGTGGCTTTAGCACCCATGCCCTTCCCTCTAGCTCCCTGTGGCTCCTAGCATCTATACCCTTACCTCCAGTTCTCTGTAGCTGTAAGCACCCATTGCCCTTTGTTCCAGCTCCCTGTGGCTCTAGCACCCACGCCCTTCCCTCCAGTTCTGTGTGGCTCTAGTACTCACGACACACCCTTCCCTCCAGCTCCCTGGGGCTCTAGCACCCATGTCCTTCCCTCTCCAGCTCCCTGGGGCTCTGGCACCCACCCCCTTCCCTCCAGCTCCCTGTGGCTCCAGCACCCATGCCCTTTGCTCCAGCAGAGTATCCCCTCACATGTGCACGCGCCTGTCCTTCCATGCACAGTTACTCTGAGAAATACGAAGTGTTCCTGGAGGAACACATTTCCTCAATGTCACCTCCCCACCATCCGCACCAGGACAAGCAGCTGATGAGGGCAGAATGCCACGCTTCAGGTGGCAACGATCACTAAATGAAGCACACTTCCCCTTCCTCCAGTTCACCAATTCTGATCTTCAGACTGGGTCTCTGTGGGGCTCCTTGGGCTTCTCAGGGTAAGCATTTCCCCCAAAGTTACCGTGGGCTCGTGGACACAAAGCTCAGATGCCAAACGAGCCCAATGCCTACATTTCCAAGACACTTCTCTTTGGCGTTATTCCCGAAAATGCCCCAAGACTGAAAGGACCGGTACAACTTTCCAGATATAAAAACCGAAGAGCATGCTGCATCTCAACTCAGAGAAGCGCATTCAACTAAGGCAGACTTCCTTCCACACAGGTGAAATGGCACTTTTCATTGTGCATGATGAAAATTTAAAGTCGCTGATGTGTAACAACTCCTGCACCACACAGAAATCCTTCATAAATGATACCACATCATTCTTTTTTGCACTCAGCATCTTGGCAGACACACAGCTTGTAATACCAGCACAGGCCACTGGATGGAGCATCTCAAGAGTTCAGATCACTCTCCATGTGGCTTGCACCCTGAAGATCGTGACTGCATAAACCAGCTTCTTCCTGGCTGGGATCTGCCACAGCCCGTCAGGCGGATGGTACTCACAGTGACGATGAAGGTGAGCACCACAAAGACAAACCGGAACCAGATTTCCAACCGGGAGAAGGCAGGGTCATAAGTCTTCCACTGAAATGGAAAGTGGGGAAAACAATATGTAAAGAAAATCATACACACATCTAAGAGGAAATACACCAGATTACTAATAGTTATCTCTAGATACGAGATAGAATTTTTTTTTTGAGGGGATGTCTCTGTTGCCCGGGCCGGAGTGCAGTGCTGCAATCTTGGCTCACTGTAACCTCTGCCTCCCAGGTTCAAGCAGTTCTCCTGCCTCAGTCTCCAGAGTAGCTGGGATTACAGGCACCACCATGCCCAGCTAGTTTTTTATTTTTAGAAGAGACAGGGTTTCATCATGTTAGCCAGGCTGGTCTCAAACTCCTGACCCCTGGTGATCTGCCCGCCTCAGCCTCCTGAAGTGCTGGGATCACATGCGTGAGCCACTGCGCCTGGCTGAGACTGTAAGTAATTTTAAAAGTTCTTTTTCCTTATACCTGGGCACCACAACCTTCAGCTCTCTGTGGCTCTAGCACCCATGCCCTTCCCTCCAGCAGAGCATCCCCTCACATGTGCACCACACACCTGGGTCCTTCCATGTATGGTTAGTCTGAGAAATATCAAGTGTTCCCGAGTGGACACATTCTAGATGTGAAACTACCATTTTATTTTATTTTATTTTTGAGAGAGTCTCTCACTCTGTCGCCCAGGCTGGAGTGCAGGGGGATGATCTGCAACCTCTGCCTCCCAGGTTCAAGCACTTCTCCTGCCTCAGCCTCCCAAGCAGGTGGGATTACAGGAACCTGTCACCATGCAGGTTAAAATTTTGGAACATGCTTTAGGGGTTCAGTCAGAGTTGGGGAGGGAGAAATTAAAAGGGAAAATTATAGAGAAATAGACACAAACCTATTTGGAAGGCCAGGTGGTTTTTGCAAAAGCCTCAGGAAGGAATGAGCTCAAGGTGATGGTTCCTATCCAGAGGCAATTAGGCAGGGGTAGGTACAAAGGAATGCGGGGGGGGGGGGGTATCTAAAGAGCTTGTTTACTCATGTAGTCCTAAGACTGACCTTTGAACATCCATGGTCAGATGACTGCTCTCTACTGGGAGAGGGGATCAACAATGTTATTACCCACAAATGGTGTGTGATTTAAGCCTCCAAACCTGGCCTTTAATCATTCATAGGACTGCTCTCTCCAGGGAAAGCAACCATGTTAATTATCCACAACTGTGCTGACTCAAAGCCTCTGTCATTAAATCTATACTATATACAATGCCTGCAGTGCCAGCTGGTAAGGGCCTCGGCTGCTGACTCCTTACAGCACCCTCCTCCATGTCTGTGAGTGGCCCGGACCCCCAAGCCCACTCTGTCACTGGGTATCTGTGTCTCAGTGCATTTGTTCATCTGTCACTGGGTCAGGGTCTGTAGGTCAGACCCAACAACATCCTACATGTTCCAAAACTGTAACATTTAGTAGAGTTTACTTTTTTATCAAAGAACACAGACATAAAAAAATCTTAATTACCAAGAGCTAAAAATAATTTTAAATGGTGTTACATAAATGACAAATCTGACAAATTATTTTATAATCCTAAGAGCATCTGGATCTTAACTCTCACATCAAAAATCAACCTTGCCAATCCCTTTATTAGAAATAATCATACTTCCCATCAAAAGAAAGTTTTAAAAGACATAAACATGTGACTAGAATGCTGTAACAAAGTTTAAGTAAAACCTTTAAGTATAAATGTGAAAGCAGAAGATAAAGCCACAGTTGAAGCAGTCTGTTCTCACACTGACCAGGCAGTCCCACGTGTGCCAAGTGCGCACTGATGGAGCTGAGGATGCAGGCGCCACTGTGTCAGGGCAGGGCAGAGGCCGGCCGCCGCCAACCCAAGCATGAGCCAGGTCCATAACCAGACCCCAGAACACTGCGCTCACAGGGCCAGTGAGCCCCATCATTCTGATGCATTGAATTAAAGTCATCTGAGCAATTTTAAAAATCCACTTCAGACACCAGATTTACCTAAAATATTAAAAAGTACGCATGCGCACACAGAGGCACGCATAAGAATGATTTAAGACACTGGACCTGCGGAGGCAATGAAGGACAGTAACCTCTAACTGATGAGAAACAAGAAGGGGTGCCCCTGGTGGCCCCACGTAATGGAGGGGAACTCAGGCAGAGCCACGGCTGGGAGTCCAGGGAGACAGGGCTGGCCTGAATCCACAGGACAGAGTACTAGAAAGGAGAGCTATAGAGAAAGAGAATAAAACTCCCAAAAAGCCAGTGCCTGGCACCCACAGAGCCAGGAATGGTGCCCATTCCCATAAGACAGAGAAAAAACTCACCATTGAAGGGCACTGGGTAGGTAGCATATGCTGAATGCTTCTGCCTCAGTGGTAGGAAAAAATTAGCCTCACACTTAATGCTGCTTAAGCCCCACCTAGCAATACTGAAAAGCAAGGCCTGAAAAGATCAAACCATTTCCAAGAAGCTGACAACATCCCACAAGAAAGCTCAGGGATATTTATAAGATATAAAAGCTAGCAATCAATAATGTCTGGCATTTAACCAAAAGTACCAGACACACCAAAAAGCAGGAAAACACAAACCATCGTAAGGAAAAAACCCAACCAATAAAAACCGGCCCAGAAATCATAGATGACAAAATCAGCAGAGGACATTAAGAAGCTAGATGAGGCCGGGCGCGGTGGCTCAAGCCTGTAATCCCAGCACTTTGGGAGGCCGAGGCAGTTGGATCACGAGGTCGAGAGATCGAGACCATCCTGGTCAACATGGTGAAACCCCGTCTCTACTAAAAATACAAAAAACTAGCTGGGCGTGGTGGCGTGTGCCTGTAATCCCAGCTACTCAGGAGGCTGAGGCAGGAGAATTGCCTGAGCCCAGGAGGCGGAGGTTGCAGTGAGCCGAGATCGCGCCATTGCACTCCAGCCTGGGTAACGAGCAAAAAAACTCCGTCTCAAAAAAATAAAAATAAAAAAAAAAAAGAAGCTAGATGAAAGATTTCAGTGTTAAATGAGGATTTGGAAGATGATCATCAGCATATCAGACATGACAGAGAGTGGTGAATGTGAAGGCACGGCAACAGAAGTGATCTAAAATAAAACAGGAAAAAAAAAAGACTAGAAAAAATGAACAGAGTATCAGGAAGCTTTGGAGAACTTCAAGTGGCCTAATACAGGGGTCCCCAACCCCCAGGCCACAGACCAGTACTGACCACGTGGCCTGTTAGGAACCGGGCCGCACAGCAGCAGGTGAGCAGTGGGCCAGCGGGCATTACTGCCTGAGCTCCATCTCCCGTCAGATCTGCCAGGACATTCGATTCTCAGAGAAGCACGAACCTGCTGTGAACTGTGCAGGTGAGGGATCTAGGCTGCACACTCCTTACGAGAACCTCATGGTAAGTGTGATGTACTTGAATTGTTCCAAAAAAGTCCCCAACCAACTCTGGTCCATGGAAAAACTGTCTTCCATGAAACCAGTCGCCGATGCCAAAAAGGTTGGGGATCACTGACCTAATTTGGAGTCCCTGACTTTGGGAGGTAGAGGGATCAGAAGGACAAAAAAAGTATTTGAAGAGATAATGGCCAAAATGCTTCCGATCTGATGAAAACTATCAATTCACAAATCCAAGATACTCAATGGATCCCAAGCACAAGAAACAAGGGAAAGCATAAAAAGCACCCTCAGAGAGAAATCTTAAAAGGGGGTATGGAGAGAGGGAAGGACATTATTACAGAAGATGAAGATAAAGACAAAGATAAGGTGGATAGCAGATTTCTTTTCAGAAAAGTGCAAGCCAGAAGACAGTGACCAACATTTTCCAAGTATGTAAATTAGGCCAAGTATGGTGGCTCGTGCCTATAATACCAACACTTTGGGAGGCCAAGGCAGGATAGTTTAAGGTCAGGAGTTTGAGACCAGGAGTCTGAGACCAGCCTGATCAACAGAACAAGATCCTGTCTCTATAAAAATAAAAAATAAAAAGTTAGCCAGCACGGTGACGTTCACCTGTAGTAGCAGCTACTCTGGAGGCTGAGGCAGGAGGATCTCTTGAGCCCAGGCTCAGTGAGCCATGGCTGCATTTCTGCACTCCATCTAAGTGACAGAACAAGACCCCATCTCAAAACAAAAAAGTACATAAATTAAAACCATACAGTAAAACCATTAAATACCATTATACACCTATTGGAACAGCCAAAATTTAAAAGACTGACTATACTGAGTGTTGATGGGATATGAAATCCTTATAAGCTGCTGGTGTAATATATAATAACACAACCACTCTGCAAAACAGCTTGTGAGTTCCTTAACCCCCATGGCCCAACCATCCCATTTCTAGCATTTATCCAAGATAAATGAAAGCATATGTCCACGCAAAGGTTTATACATAGATGTTCATTGCTGCTGTCTTTACATCAGCCCCAAACTGAAAGCAATCCAAATGCCCGTCAACAGGTGAATGAATTGTTAAATTTATACTGCAATATCACACAGCATGAACTATGGACGCACTCAGCATCATCGATCACCCTCAAAATAATTATGCTAAGTGAAACAATTCAAACCTTTGGATGAGTACATATTGTATAATTCCAGTTACATAAAATTCTTTTAAAAAATGCAGATGAGTATGCTGTGAAAATAGATCAGTGGGTTCCCAGGAATAGGAAGGGGCAAGAGGAAGGAGCACAAGGAGGAGATGTTTAGGGGTGATACCTGCTAAGGGGATGCTTATAATCTTGATTGTGAGAACGGTTTCCCAGGTTTCACTGTGGGTCAAGTAGACCTCAATAAAGCTGCCAAACAGAAAACCACCATTCCCAATAATAGATGGTAATGGGGACGTGGAGATCACAGCAATTCAGGCTCAAATTCCAGCTCTTCCCATTATAAGTTGGCCAAATGACTTAATCTTATGAAACCTCTTATTTTTCTCCATGTAATAAATGGGAATGCTAGAACCTACTTCACATAATTATTTTAACTTTTTTTTTTTTTTTTTTGAGGCAGACTACTTGTTGCCCAGGCTGGAGTGCAATGGTGCA